GAAAAATGGTTATTATGGTTAATATGAACTTACAGGGTCGTATTGGTGATTTTAATGATAATAATTCTGTAAACACATAATCGCTACGGTTGCTAATCATATTTTGTTAAATATACAACCTAACCCTGACCTGCAAATTCCAAAAAACGCAAGAAAATTTGAATTTCGCGGGCCACCCTGGAGCTTCCACCTTAAGAGCTCATTTTTGTATTTAGTGCTTACACTACCACTCGTAATAAGACGTAACTGCTCAAATTGTTATTAAGAGTATAAAATAAAATAATTTTTCTGTAAGGTATTTAGTATCATGTATAAGTTAGTAACTTTTGTTAAATTTAATAAAATTTTCGCAATTACGTTTTCTACAGTGATTCTCTCCTCTTAGTATCGGCGTGACTAGGATGCTATATAGCTACAGAGTTACTGTCACATACTAAGCGGTCCTAAATCAATATATGAATGTACAGACATACAGATCTACATTTTATGATTTCTTGAATTTTGATAGATTTTTTGAAACCTCGTAAAATTATTTCTTTTTCCATACCAGATGATGGGGCTGAGTATAATGCCAGTCGTGCTTTTTGGCGGGAATTTTTTAATTATTTTATGCTTAATTGCGGATAAAACAATATTTATTGCGCATCTCTAAAACAAATTTTTACCTCTTCTCCTTGTAATGATAGTTTCTGCACCTGACACTGCGAAATAGTTTTTTCTATATGACCGTTTGCAGTACCCATATTTGTTAACAGTTATGGGTGTACCATTTTTATGATCTTCTTTATTCATAGTGCCTTGAGCAGCACTTTCCCGGTTTCTGTACAGAAGATGATGTTGACTTTGTTATTTCTTATTTGAAATAATGCGTAGGCTTAGTACCGCAGAAAACTGTTTGAAATATGTTGATGGCCGCTACCAATGAATATAAAACCTGCTATGTCACCTATTTACATCGAAACGTTAATTATCGTCTGCATAAAATTCTAAATAGCACTTTTTGCACAAGAAAGTAGCTTTTGAGATCAGTCCATCTTGTTTTTCGCTAATTAAGTGAATAGTAAAACAAACCAAGGAGTACGTGATTTAAAATGTTTATAGAAAAGCATTACCTTATCATAAAATCATAGTTAATAATTTAATCATTTGATAAAACTTTTAAGTGTGCCAATCATACATTAATGATGATACCTATTTGGATCATTATGCTGGAAATAATCTATTAAATGTTTGTATGAATTTTCATGAAAATTATTATTGCAGATAAAAGGCCTTTCACATTTATTTTAGTCTCAAATTAGACAAAATAAGAATTTTAACTTTAAGAAAGTCCCATCGCTAGCCTTCGATTTACTTCTTGTACTATCAAAAAATCTTGTAATGACGCGCATTATTTCTTTCAATATGAACTTAGTCGTGTTTCTTTGAGACGGACAGTTTGTTTTATCGTAAACTAAGAATGTTGCTGATGAAACGTCGTAAAAATTAGGTAGGATAGGTTTCGCTTTTGCAAAATGTTCCGTGAATGGCTCTTTATAAACTAACTGAAAATGAGTCTAGGAGTGACAATAAAAACGCTACTTAGCATAGAAGTGTATATAAGGGCAAAATGAATTATTTAAATTGAAGTCACTTTATTGAAAATTAAAATTCGAATTTAATAGGAGTGACAGAAAAAACGCTACTTAGCATAGAAGTGTATAGAAGGGCAAAATGAATTATTTACATTGAATTTACTTATCTTCACGCACAATCCCTGACGGGGTAGCCAGAGAGAACAGATCGCCAAGTGTCACGATCCTTACAAACCTCTTTCGCTTCTTTCAGATTCATTATCTTCTTCATACATTCACGTCTAGGTATCCGAGTACTCTTGACCCTACCCTCTTCGAGCAATTTGCTCACATGGTCTTCGAAAGTTAGTCTCGGTCTACCTCGACACCTTTTAATATTAACTTTCGCGCTATATATCTTCACCATTCGGTCTTCACTCATTCGCTCAACGTGTCCAAACCACCGAAGCACGCCCTTATCAATTTTTGTGATAAGGTCATCTTTCAAACCTGCCATATTGCGAATCTCTTCGTTTCGCTTTCGGTCGGCCACGGTAACGCCGCACATTTTACGAAGAGATCGCATCTCCACTGCATTCAACTTGCTTTTATGCTTCTTCTGGCATACCCAGGTTTCGCTGCCATATAACAAAGTCGGTACCAACACTGCGTTATGAATTGCAAGGCGTGCACTCTTCGCTACGCCTTGTCTTTTGACTAACGCAGTCAGGGCACCATTGACTTTGTTCCCGGCAGCAACACGCCTGTCCACATCTAAATCACATCTTCCATCCCGGCTAAAAGCACTCCCCAAGTATACAATTTCATTTGATTAAATTGAATTTACTTTATTGAAAATCAAAATAGGCCAATAGCTTTATTAACGTGTGACACATAATTGTACTTATTATACTCAACATTTTTTTATGGAAATCTGAGAAAGTTGAAAATTTAAGTATTATCAGAGGCTGCTTTGCAATTATTTTCTATTGAGTGAATTTTGTGTACTCGTGTTTTGAAAACCGCCACCTGGAACATCGATAACGATGTGAAATCTGAGAGCGATCCCCATGCAGCTCAATTTGGTTCTGTTCAGCCTCTTAATATGGACATACCTCGGGTTCAGGGATTTTAAATTTTTATGCGCAGATACAGGAAGGTATAAATATTATTACTGTCCCGTGTGAGACAACTTTCATTCTTTTACATTTATTCTTTCACACGTTTACTTTTTTATGGTTGGTTAGAGAAATAATATCTACATGCAAACTTTCACAGGGTAATTTTTTTTTACTATTCTTAGCTTGCGCTTAACTACAATACTACCTGATGGTAAGTAGTTATGTAGCCTAAGATGGTGAAGTGCGACTTAACAAAAGTCTATTCACTCTTTCCTAATAGTAGCAGGTAAGTATTATTTGCGACGTATTTGTATCTGTGTGTGAGTGAGTGAGAATATATGAAGAGGAATAAAAATTGAGTATTCGTAGTAATAAGTACATTTGGCTTCATTATCATCATTACAGCCCTTCACAAGGTCACTGTTAGACAAAGGCCTTCCCCAAGGAATGCCACAAAGCATGGTCCTGAGCCACCTGCATCTACCTCTCGACTTCCTGCATATCTTGCCATGTCGTTCCTCCATATAGTAAGAGGCTGCCCTGCACTTCGCTTACCGGTACGAGGTTGCCACTCAAGAACCTTTCTTCCTATCGTTTATCGGTTTTCCAAGCTATATGGCCAGCCCATTGCCATTTCACTTTAATAAATCGTTGGGCTATGTCAGTTACTCTGATTCTACTGCGGATATCCTCATTTCTAAGTTTATCACGCAGAGAAACTCCGAGCATAGCCCTCTCCATAGTTCGCTGAACGACCTTCAGATTTCTCATACTGCTGCTGGCCAGCCACATTTAACTTATTTAATTTTTATATTTTTCAGGCGATGATTTGTCTAATATTTAATGGAAACATAAACCCAAGAATGAATAAACGTGTTGAATGAATATTATGTAATGAATATCATACCACTTAGGAAAGCACCACTTTTATTTTATTAAAATTTTTTGTTTTAATTTTATAATAGTGTATCTAAATTTAAGTATATGTATCTAGATTTCCCTCGCCAATCATTTTCTATTAAAGTCATACTCATAAAAACAGCGTTTTATTGTAATATATAATTATGAAATACCATATCACCCTCAGATCTGGCTTCATATTTAATTATTAACGTAAGCAGTCCAATAATTTGATAAAATTCTAAGGCAAAGTGCATGGCTGAAACACGTTCTTCACTTGTCAATTTGTGGTTATTTTTGTTGGATCTATTAGAAAAGTCAACAAATGTGCTGGAGTGATTGCTTGATTTTTTTCTCATTTTTAAAGCATTAATCTGTTCCGCAGAAGTCATGTTACTTTCAAATGTGGCCTCTAATTCTTTAAAGCACTGAACCGTGTCACTGAGTGTTGCATGGCTTTCTTGGAGCCTATCACGTGCAACTGATATCGGTTTTGATATTTTCAAGATATATTCTGGCGATCTTTTGATTATTATATAACTCACTTTTTGTGTAACGACTTTGTCAATGCTCTCTTTGTTTTCTCCACAGATTTTTATCAACTTAGGCCATGCTGCAAGATAACTTTCCAAGCAGTCAGTAAATGTGTTCCATATATCTTGGGGAAGTATCAGCTGTTTTCCCTGCTCTTCCTTGTATTTAGCACTCGCAAAATGGTTATTGCGAAAATATTTCATGACATGAACTTCTTGTTCATTGACCTCACGCACTGCCAAATCTTTAGATAGCAAATTTAGTATATGTGCTGCACTGCCATGGGTAAAGATGTTAATATCGGAGTGCTGCTTTAGGTTTAGGTTAGGTTAGAGGCATTGTCTGTGACAAGGCTAGTCACTTGGCATTTATGGTCATTTTTGAACTTTTTGATGCTAAGTCTGTCAGGTAATCCGCTGTGTGTGGACTGCCTAAAGTGTTTACACTTTCATACAGGTATACTTCCCCGGTGTTCCACACATTTACGCGTCCAGTTGTAATAAATAATTCCAGATTGTTCGGAAAAGTTGTCGCTGTAGTCGAAAATCTAATACTTAATCGAAAATAAAACACAGTTCCTCAGCATTATATATTATTTTTAAAATATGTACAACATAAAATAAATATACCAATATAATAACATTTTCTTGCAATAAATGCAAGAGCGATTATTACCTGTAACAAGTTCCAGATGATTCTTAGATCAGCATTTATCAAGAAAAACTTTGCTTTATCTTATTGCAAAAAATTACTGATGGCTCACAGGCACTAAATGTGGTAACTAAATTAGTTTAAATAAATTTCAGATTCTTAAAAGATTCCTAAAATGACTCCCTTTATACACTACGTCAGTTTAAGATTTAAATGGCTTGCAATATTGAAGTAACTAATTTTAGAAATTGATTGGTTTTCCGAAATATGCAGCTAAATTCGCCTCACGAAGGGCCTCGGCACATGTCTGAAATTAAAGTACGGTTCATCAGTGAAAAGTGAATTGTGAAATTAATCTGATACTCATTTAATGTCATTGTTAGAGTAAAGTTAGACCACTCATTATTACTCTACTTATTGCTCAAGAATAAAAATAAATGTAGATTTGCAAAATTTCGTAATATTAGATTACAATCAGGAATTTTATATTGATTTGGAAAGTAACTTACAGGGTGAGCATGGCATACTCTTGCGATATCTTCTGCCGCAGCGCCGTATTCTTGCGCCAACACAGCCTCGTTGATCAATTCACCTCCACCCTAGAATTATAAATGAATATTCATCATTACAGCCCTCCAGAAGTCCACTTTATAACATAGGCCTCACCCAAATGTCACAAGGCATGGTCCAAGCCACCTGCATCCATCGATTTTCTGCATGTCTTACCAGGTTGTCACTCTATCTGGTGGTTGGGCCGTCTAACACTCAGACTGCCGGTACGAGGCTGCTACTCTAGAACCTTGCATCCCCATTGGTTATTCGAACTACATGACCAAGCTATTATCATTTTAGCTAACTGATTAGTTAGACTTTGTTGATTAATTTCGTTCTGTTGTGGATATCATCATTACAAATTCTATAATGCAGGGAAACCCTCAGCTTAGCTTGTTGAGCAACCTTAATTTGCCCCATATAGCCAGTAATGAAGTTCCATGTTTCAGTTCCATATGTCATCACTGGCACTGGTTACACTCACTTTGTCCTGCCCATCATCACAATATCAGGTTTATTTGACAGAACAGTTCTGTCCGTGATAATGGCCCAGTCCCAATAAAACCTGGTGCGGCTATTTTCGAGCAAGACCCCTGACGAATATTTATAATAAGACGGTCTCCAATCCAGAAGATTTCAGAGTGAGAGGTGCAGTATTCTGGCTACTAGGTTGTGTCTATGCCAACAAGTGAGATATAGCGATTTTAAGAGAAGGGAGCAGTTGAAAGTGAACAACTTTATGTCATATGTAGAAAAGGTGGGACGCATTCATCCCTCCATTTTAAAAGAAGGAATCTCCTCCCAGATCCGTCCAGTAAAGTGCTAAGAGAGTTCAGAGATAGGTAATAGGGGATAGGCGCAACATTGAGGCAAAAATGTATTCAATTTCCTATTGCATGACATCACTTAACTCTCAGGCAAATTATTTTATTGTTGTTAATTTAATTGTATTCGTTCAGCTTTTTTAATAAGAATGAGCTTAAGCTTCATATTTATAAGTAAATAAACAGGTTGATTTAAGAATTCCCCATTTTTGTGAATTCATATCAGTAATTTTTAATGTGGTAAAGCCATGCTGCAGCTATATTATATAATTAAAAGGAATTTGTAAGGTTAATTTAAAAGTTACCATTTTTGTCTTGAACTATAATTAATGTAAAAGTAAGTTTTTAAAGATTATAGAGAGTGATTTTTGATTAATTAATATCCTTTAAAGTTGATATTAATCTAAATTCACTATATACGTGGTAGAGCCACGCTAGAGCTATATTGTGGTTCTAGCATTAATGGATCGGCTCGACCGGGGAAGGACCACACTCTCACAGAATACCAGCGGAAAATAGCAGCTTAATGCTGCTGTTTCATATGATGAGTGTAGAGAACCGGAGACCCTTATTACTGAAAAAGAGGCATTCCATCTTAGTCCTCACCGATGACAATGTATCTGCATTTTGATTCTTTATTGAGAAAAGATGTAGATGTCTTTGGCTCACAGCAACCACTTACCATCAGGTGCAATGTGTGCTCGTTTGTCACTTATATAAAAAAACTACTGTATTGTGCTATATTCTAATATATAGTACTGCATACTTATAAGTTTGTAATATTACAAATAATATAACATCCTTAACAAATTCTAAACTTTAAATATTTTCGATAACAACTGTTAAAAAAAGAAATACTTACAGGACCAATAATATGTGTACCGAGGATAACATCTGTAGCCTTATCGGCAAGCACTTTAACAAATCCTTCAGGTTCTCCATTTGTCTTTGCACGAGAATTGGCCAGGAATGGGAATTTTCCTACTTTGTATGGCCTACCCTGAACAAGTTATAAACATTAATACAAAAAATAAAATTAGAATTGTATAAGCCAGATATTTTATTATCTTTACCTCCTTCTTAAGATCTTCCTCAGATTTGCCGACCCAGCCTACTTCAGGAGTTGTGTAAATTACAGATGGAATGGCATCATAGTTGAAGTGTACAGGCATACCCTGAAATTAAACAATATAAATGTCCATAATAAGCGGTCTTAATATAAAACCAAATAAAAATCACAAGTAAAAACCTTACCTTAATACCTTCAACACAAACAATACCTTCATCCTCGGCTTTGTGCGCTAACATAGGGCCATGGATACAATCCCCAATGGCATAAATTCTGTAACAGAAAATAGGTTATAGCTTACTTGTTATATTAGGGAAAATGGCATTGACAAAAACTTCCTAATATAAATAAAACCTTTATCAGCTCATAACAGTTCATGGTTAGACATGGTCGGTCCTCTACTGCTGTAGAAAGGAGTTATTGCAAAACATAAAAAATCATGATAAATATAATAAATGTAAAATGTGTGGCAGGACAAACTGTCTCACAACATTGACATCCTTCAATGTGATATACCAACATCCAACATCTAATGGTAGCTATAAGACAGTGAAAGGCTGCTACAAATTTATCAAGCATTTTTATTAATTTATGGTGCTCAAGAATTTGAAATTGGGTATTAAGGTATAAATTACTCTAAATAAATGTGTTTCTTAAATAATTTGTATGATTGTTTGAAGATAATTAAACTTGATTCTTTATCTAAAATGGGTATAATTATATTTTTACCCAGGAACTGTTGTCTGGAATTTATTATTGACAGGAACGCGACCGCGGTCGTCCAAGGCGATGCCCACCTTCTCCAAGCCGAGGTCTCTTGTGTAAGGGCGACGTCCAATTGAGATAAGCACAACATCACATTCCAGCTGAAATAAGAAAAAGTCAACAAAATAAATAAACATAAATGTCATTATGACAGTTAGTAGATGCACTATTTTTTTTAATTAAACCTTTCATCATCATCATTATTAGAGCCCTTAATACCACTGCTGATCATAGGCCCCCTTAAGGAATGCCGTAAAGCACAGGCCTGAGCCACCTAAATCCATCAACTTATTCAATATTTTACCAAGTTGTCTCCCCATGTGGTAGAGGACCGCCCTTGGGTTACCAGTACAAGTTAATCGAAAACCTTTCTACCGATCAGTTGTTAGTTATTCATGCCTTATGACTGGCCCATTAGCCTTAACGAATTGGTAAAAAAAAATTTACCATCTAGGAATACCTCCTGTATTGTGGAGGAGTTTTATATTCATAAATTATAAACCAAATAAAGAGAGATATGGAAAAATTTCAGGTCATATAAATGCTTGTTCTCTGCCAGAATAGTACTGGGGAGTTAAACCATAAGTAAAGTAAGAATGTAATGTATCGTTAATATTTAATCACTAACTTATTGTATTGTAAATTAATATTTAAAAACAGTCCCGCTGGGTTTCTTGCAGTGGTAAAAGCATTTCAAATTACTCTCAATAACTATTCTAGCAATTAAACATTATTCTATTCAAATCTATTCCACTTAAAACGGTTTCTTCTTTTTATCGACTCGTAAAAGTCCACATCTGGACATGAGCTTCTTCTTTTGTAGAGAGTTGCCTTAATCACGACAGGCAGATTGACAATAGTAGTATACCAGATGTCTGGCACGGTCATGCGGCTGCTGCCTGTCGCCAGCCTGGATATTATAAGTCTAATGTAAATGAGACGACTTTAGGGTAACCTATAACTGGAAGCTATATGATTTTTCTGGCACTTCCATAATCGCCCCTTACAACAGCAATGGGACGAAATTGGGTGATGGAGTCTCTTACGCCACCACAACAGAGTAGAATTAAAAAATTAATATTAATTTAGAGTAATGTAGTGAGTTTAAAAATATATCAGGGTAGTCAAAATTATTTCATTTCAATCTAATAAATATTCTACAGAGCATGGACTCAAGCATGAGCATGTTTTATGGAAAACTTATCATACAAATGCACGTATTTAAATTTTGAATGTATTGTGGCGGCGCTGTCGTCGCGACACAAGCGAAAATACATTGTTGCCTAAATCGCGCTATCAAAGTTCCGAAGCAAAAATATATATAGAACAGCTCTAAACTACCACCTCTGCGCCCTCTTTTCCCAAGAGGGTCGCTTCCGATCCGGCAAAAAGGCTTAATCAGACAATGCTAGTCCCACAGGTGGTTTTTAGTGGGTAGCACTTAGGTTCCCTTTTAGGCTAGTCACAGTGAGTCCCACATAACCACGACAGACCGGCTGTCGTGGTATGCATAAAGCATTTACCACCTCCCCGCGTAGCGGAGTAGCCCTTTTTCCAATTGCTTCTGGGCACAAAAAAAACTACCACTTCCTACGCCCTCTTTCCCTAAAGGGGGTCGCTTCCGGCAGAAAGGCCATACAGGCCAAAGCCAGTCCCACATAACCACGCAGCCTGCTGCGTGGTATGCTATGAGCATTCACCACCCCCCTCCTCCGCTTCCGGAGCAGCCGGCGGGAGATCTCCCCTTTTCCTTCCACTGGCTACAGTGGTACCAGACAGTGCCGCCATAGTATAGAGAATAAATATGTGGTAGGACTCCTTTTCTGCATTGGAATTCATCTGGGTAGGAATCACACTGTTATATATTTCTGTTACCAAGTATGTACTCGGCATTAATGTGATCTGGTCTGGTTATAGAGAGCCAGTCTAATTACAAGCTGAGAGGCATTCCATCTTAGACCATAGTGGTGACAACACATCTGTAGCCTTTTTAAAATTGGTTGTAGGCGTCCATGATCTGCAAGTCATGTTGGTTCAATTGACTTGTCAATTAAATAAAGAAAATGCTTACCGTTTCCTTATTGCCACCCTTTGCAGCTTCTACATCAACCTTCACCACATTGCCTTCTTTTCTCACTGATGTTACTTTTGTACCAAGCTTAAACTTCATGCCTTCTTTAGCAAGTATTTTTTGTAGAGTTTTAGATACTTCACCATCAATACCCACACCTAAAACAATGTGTGAAAAATGTTTATTTCTTTTGATAGATAGATAGATAGATAATTCTTTATTGTACACCAAATCAATACATAAACGAATGAAAAAGAAAAAAAAAATAGTGACACAATGGGCGGTCTTATCGCTAAAAGCGATTTCTTCCAGACAACCTTCTTTCATTAGCATAATATGGTATGAAATAATATATGAAATTAATACCGCTCAAAATTATTGTTAATAATAATTTACAACCATTGTATCTTTTATTTATTAGTCTGGTAAGTAACACATTTTTATACATAGGCTGCACTAAAAGTATCGGGAATGGAATATTTCCACTGTTCCTGTCATATTAAAATCTTTTTTATTGAAAACCCCTTGGTTTTAAAAATCGAATATCATTTATTTATTTCAAAAAAGATTCTCGGTTTTGTCAAACTTGTTTAGTTGTTGAGAAAATGGAATTGAGTCGAGAAAATTCAAGAGCGATGATTTATTATGACTTTCGAAGTGGTTTAACACAAAAACAGTGTGTTGACCGGATGATTTCTGCATTTGGTGATGGACGTGTCAAGCTCAGTGATGATCCCCGTCAAGGTCGTCCAAAAACTGCAGTCACCCAAGAAAACGTTGATGCTGTGCGTAAGCTGATTGAGGAAGATCGACATGTGACATACCGCGAAATTCAGGCAACTTTAGACATTGGCATGAGTCAAATACAGATAATCTTGCATGAACAATTAGGTGTAAAAAAGTTGTTTTCCCGATGGATACCGCATTCGCTCTGTGAAGAGCAAAAGGCGGCTCGCGTTACTTTGTGCGTCAGAACTCTCGAAAGATTCCACATCGTATCAGGTGACGAATCCTGGATATACGCGTACGAACCCGAAACAAAAAACCAGTAACGAGTTTGGGTGTTCGAAAATGAGTTAAAGGCAACAAAAATAGTTCGTTCACGGTGTTGCAAAAAAAATGGTGGTTACGTTTGTCTCTAAAATCGGCCATGTTACGACTATTCCTCTTGAGGGACAAAGAACGGTTAATGCAGTATGGTATGCTAGCATTTGTTTGCCACAGGTCGTTTCTGAACTCCGTAAAGAGAACTGCAACCGCCGCATCATCCTCCATCACGACAATGCGAGTTCTCACACCGCACACAGAACAAAAGAGTTTTTAGAGCAAGAAAACATAGAATTATTAGACCATCCGCCGTACAGCCCCGACCTAAGCCCTAATGATTTCTATACTTTCCCTAAAATAAAGAATAAATTGCATGGAGAGAGATTTTCATCACCTGAAGAAGCTGTGAACGCCTACAAAACGGCCATTTTGGAGACTCCAACTTCCGAATGGAATGGTTGCTTCAATGATTGGTTCCATCGTATGGAAAAATGTGTCAAATTTCGCGGAGAATACTTCGAAAAGCAATAAATACATTTTTAAATAGTAATGTTGTGTCACTTCCTTGATTCCCGAAATTTTCAGTGCCGCCCTCGTATTGAAGGATTTGAATCTCATAGTGAAAGAATATATTAATACATTGACAAGCGATCTCATTAATAAATACCACATCAACAGCTCGATATGCTTGTTTAGTAAACAAGCATATTGAGCTGAAAAAGTTTTATTGTCGTTGCTTAATCCAATATCTTATTTCATGTCATAACATTTATTATATTATTTCAGAACTGTATATCTTAATATGAGATGGTCAAACACTCAAACACTACTTAATAATTTTAAGATGCTGTTAAGTCTCGTGGTGTCACAGTCACTTTGACTTAAAGTGATAGAGACAGCACGAGACTAAATTTCATTAAGCAGCTTTTGAGTACTTGGGCATAACATTATTAGGGCATATGTGTTACGTGGTAGAGCCACGCTGCAGCTATATTATGGTTGTAGCACGAATGGGCCGACTCGACCGAGATAGGACCAAACTCACAGAATCAACATTATCATTACAGCCCTTCACAAGTCCACTGCTGAACATAGGCCTCCCGCAAGGAGTGCCACAATGCACGATCCCAAGCCACCTGCATCCATTGACTTGTCTTACCAGGTCGTCACTCCATCTAGTTGGGGAACGCCCTACACTTCACCTGCTGATACGAGGCTGCCACTCCAGAACCTTTCTTCCCCATCGGTTATCGGTTCTTCGAGCTATATGGCCGGCCCATTGCCACTTCCGCATACTAATTCTTTGAGCTATGTCGGTTACTCAGCTTCTACTGCGGATATCCTCGTTTATAAATATATAACGCAGAGAAACGCCGAGCATAGCCCTCTCCATAGCTCGCTGAGCGACTTTGAGCTTCCTCATACGGCCAGCAGTGAAGGAACACGTCTCAGATCCATAAGTCATCACTGGCAACACGCACTGGTTGAACAATCTAGTTTTGAGGTATGGTCTGACGACAAGATCTTTCGTAATCTCCCGAAAGGTGCCCAGCCGAGTTGGACCCGTCGTTTGACCTCCCGGTCGAAGTTGGACTTACCTAGTCGGACTATTTGCCCCAAGTAAACATATTCGTCAACAATTTCGAGCTTAGTGCTCCCAAAAACTACCGGCATAGGTGTGACATGGACGTTAAACATGATTTTTGTTTTGTCCATGTTCATCTTAAGACCTATCTGTTGGGAGACACTATTGAGTTCATTGAGCATAGTGCTTAGGTACTCCAGCGATTCTGCCATAAGGACTATATCGTTGGCAAATCGAAGGTGAGTGATGTACTCGCCATTGACGTTAATACCGTATCCTTTCCAGTTCAGTAGCTTGAAAACGTCTTTCAATGCAGCGGTGAAGAGTTTCGGGGATATTACGTCACTCTGTCTTACACCTTATATAGGATAGGTTTCGTACTCTGGTTCTGTAATCGGATAGCCATCGTAGCCCTACTGTACAAGCACTTCAGCACTTCGATATATCGACAGTCCACTTGGCACCACTGAAGGGACTGCAGCACCGACCAAATTTCGACGGAATCAAAGGCTTTTTCATAGTCCACATATGCAAAACAAAAAGGCAGATTGTACTCTTCGGTCTTCTGTACAATTTGCCGAAGGGAATGTATGTGGTCTATGGTGCTAACCATAGACCACATACATTTTTGGACAGCCTTTTTGGAAACCGGCTTGTTCGGGAAGCTGTTTTCAGAAGCTCCGCTGTAATTCCATTCTCGCCCGGGGACTTACCGTTTTTAAGGTGCTGGAGACCGAATATCATCGAAATAATATCGGATAAGACTTGGTCTTGGATCGTTACTCACACTTACGTGTGGCTCCAACGATGACGTGTACAGCTGCCCATAGAACCTCTCAATCTCACTCAAAATCTCAGGTGCCCCGGAAACGATGTTGCCACATTCGGTTTTCAGCTTCGACAGTTGGCTCTTTCTGGCAGACAGTTCTCTGGCAAAGACTTTAAAGCTCTGCTTCCGCTCGATCGCTTCTGCAATACGAGCAGTATTAAAGTTGCGTAAGTCCCGCCGCATGCATTTAGAGATCTGTCTGTTCAGTTGCCTGTATGCTATCAAATCTACTGAAGACTTCATTTCCCGTCTAACAGCCATGAGATTAAGAGTGAGATCGGAGTTTTTGTGTTCCTCTGCGGCGGGTCTTGCAAAACTTAGCTCCGACCGCATGGACAGTTTCCACTAGCTTGTCATTCATTCGTCCACTGCATTGCAGTCTTTTAAGTCACTGAAAATAGTTTTGTAATTCAGCTGAAAGTTTTCGGGGCCTTTGATTAGAGTACGTGGGTGCGCTCCGTGCGTTGACTTCATTAGATGTTTGTTACCTCTCCAACTTAACATTAACGTTTAATGTGCCTCCTACAACTCGGTGATCGCTACCAGTTTTCAGCCTCGCGATCACTGAGACATCACTGAACAATTGCTGTCTAGTCGGGGGTCGACCAGGTCCACTTCCTGTGGGGCCGCTTCTGGAAGAAAGAGTTCATCATAAAGAGTCCTTCTTTCTTGGGTTTCGTTGCCCTATTTCGAATTTCCCTCCTTTTAGCTCACCATTCTCTCTTGTGCCTAGTTTTGCGTTGAAATCTCCCATTAACACTGTATAGTGAATTTTAGAGGAATGCATGGCTCTAGAGATATCCTCATACATTTCCTCCACCTCCTCATCGGGATGTGCCGAGCTTGGTGCGTAAACCTGTATGATCTTCAGCAAATACCGTTTGGTGATTCTGAGTATAAGGTAACGCAACCCTCGTTGACACACTCCAAATCTTTACAACGTTGTTAAAGAGAGACTTGTGGACAAAAATCCGACACCTCCTTGGAACAGATAGTCGCCCTTCTGGTGATATAACAAGTTGCCGGATTTGAGGATTACCGTCCCCCCCCCCTCTCTTCGGACCTCGGATAATCCTATAATATTCCAGTGCAACTTGTCTATCTCTTCTTCCAGCTCCAAGATCTTCTCGTCAGTCCTCTGGGTGCGTGCGTTATAAGTTGCCAGGTCGAGTCGTCGTAGGTGGCAACTGAACCTCCACCGGAGAAACTAGCACCTCCTCACAGAATATCAGCGTAAAATAGCAGCTTAATGCTGAAAACGAGGCACTGCATCTTAGTCCTCAAGAATGACAACCCATCTACATTTTGATTCTTAATCGAAGATATATGTAAATGTCTTTGGGCCACGGCATCCACTTACCATTAGGTGGAATGTTTGAGAATACACATGTGACACTATAGTATGTCCTGCATAATGTTATGCAGTTGCAGTTGTAGAATATTGCAACCATGGGTTCATAGACGCACAAGCAATTTACTATCTAATTTTATAAGTGCACTAAAAATTGTGATTACTTGGAGTAGCATTGTCTTTTTAATAGTTTGCCGAGAACCATGGTAACTCAGGAGCTAAGCGCTCACCGTAAATTTTACATACATATGATCAACCCGGGTTCTATTCCCGCCGACACTGAAAATATTGTTAATTGGAAGTTTTAAGTATTGATTTACCATATACTAGGTGGTTAAAGAAAACATTGTAAGGAAGGCTTCATATCTGAGGAATAAAATGTTTCAAGGGAATGATCATTTTATGGCAGAGTTATGGAGCTAACTTGCCGCTTCATAACCCTCCTAAGGCCCAGCAGATACAATATATGTATATATATAAATATCAGAAATATATTTACCTCCAATACTTTCAAGAAATTCTATGGCAGTAACATCAGCACCAAGTCTTTGATAAACAGAGCCCAGTTCTAAACCAATAACTCCAGCACCAATTACTAACATTTTCTTAGGCACAGATGAAAGTGAGAGTGCACCAGTTGATGTTATGATTTGCTGCTCATCAAACTAGTATAAAAATTATAGCATTAGTAAGTATACATCACATACTTGTTTCTTATTTTTTTTTAAATAAATGAAATATTTTAAAACAGATTATGCTGCTACTAAATGTCTTTTTAAAATTGTTTTACAGGTTGTAAAAGTCCATAGTTGGTTATGAACTGCTGTTATTGTGGCGCTGTACAAACTGCAATCATCGATTCCAGACTAATGCACTTTTGACACTGCTTGGTTCACTTAGCAGGATGGCTATACTATAATCTGTCAAAAGCTTTAAGAGCTTCCAAGCAGACATGATGATTGTTTTTTATTATTTCCCTAAGGCAACTAGGGACAAAACAACTAGTGCTGCCCTCTAGATTATAAATTATACATCACATCTCATATAAAAAGTAAGTGTAAAAGCAAAATAAAATTAAGCCAAATAATATTATTACTGTAAATTTCAAAGTACACAAGCAACTCAAATTCGATGCCCGCCAGCACCAATGAAATTGTTAATTGCAATTTTAAGAACTGATTTACCACATGCTCGGCGGTGAAGGAAAACATAGTGAGGAAACCTGCATGTCTGAGAAATAAGAAAAAGAAATATTTCGAAGACATGTGAAGTTCGGCAACACACATTGGGGCAGCCGGTGGATATTTCCCTATCTTAAAACCCTTTCAGAAAATGAGAGGGCTGTACCCAGCAGTGGGACGTATATGTGCAGTAACTTTAACTTTTTATTGGACATTGATAAAAAAAATTATAAGACACGAAGAGGGTACTTTTTACTTTTGTATTTTATATAATAAGGCATAGTTTTCATAATGTAAGGGTTATTAATAAATAAATATTGTAATCACTTACAGTAACCCCTGGAAAAGGTGTGACTTCTGAACCAGTAGCAATTAGAATGTTCTTTGTATTAATTGTCTCAACACCTTTTTCTCCTTTTACCTCAACTTTATTTGGTGCAACAATTGTTCCCACACCTCTAACAAGTTGAACCTGAATAATATATATTATTTGAACTTACAAACTTTGATACTGTATGTCTAATAATTATAACAAATGAATCTGAATTTGCACATAATATCTTCTGAAGTTAGTGATTTAATTCTTTAATACACTGTGAATTGGCACCAACTTCAGAAGCTGCTATATAAAAATCATTCGATTCTCTTTTTAGCTTAATATGAAAGTATTTGCGCCTCTATGTCTTAGTTTCATTTAGGTATATGATAGCTATTGATGGATAGATCATCTGTTTAAGTTGCCATAGCCAAAAAGGTAATCATCAGAAAATGCAAAGGTTAAATTATACTGAAATTTTCTCTTACATTTACATTATTATTCACCCTATCATCAGAAAATGATCTATTCATATGTATTTATATTTCTTATGTACATTAGAAATATATATATGAGAAAACATAAATCTAGACAGATGACAACAGACTCTAATCTAATAATTAGAGCATATGCTGAGAAGTAGTGAAATCAATAGATTTGAATGACACTTTAAAGCCATAATAGTAATAATACACCTCTACTTCATTATATGTAGGAAGATCTTTTTCAATCTAGAAGTGGATATTATAAAAAGAGACAGATTGAAGCTAACAATATTTTATTATAATTCTATAGATTATAAATTTTAAAAGAATCTTAGTTGTAATATTTAGACATGTATGTTAATATATAATTTATGTAAATTCAGTGTTATGAAGTAATAAATTATTATCGTTATATATAAAAATTATGTGTCACATTGTTTGTCCTCAATGGACTCCTAAACTACTGAACTAATTTCAATGAATTTTTGCACACTGTATGCATTTTGGTCCAAGTTGACAGATAGGATAGTTTTTATCCCGATAAATGACCCTCAAAAATTTTTATTGCAAATTTAAGGATCTTTATAGGAAGGGTCGTCAGAAAGGGCAGAACAATGTTTGCTTGGTAAGCTAGTTATTATAAAAAATATAAATTGAATCTTCATAAATACAATAACACCACATCTAAAAAATAAAGACTAATATATAACATGGTGATCATTTTATTTGTTCTAAATTGTAATAATGTTCTATAGAAGTTTTTTTAATGTCTGTTTGTTAATGGATGAAGACTTTTTTAAGAATGTGCCAAACAGACTGCAAAGCTATAAGAGTGACTAAGCTATAATAAGCTAGTGTGTTGTTGAGTATAAATCAGTCACCAACATACTAATGATGTTGCTCCCAATCAAGTCTGTGGTACTTAGGTTTGGCATCAGTCAATTGTTAGTCTTGTCGTAGAATATACTATGAACAGGCTAGGGTGGTATTTCAAGAAATTATTGTTATATCCTTTTACATGAACTTAAGAATATTCACAAGTATATTTTGTTATTTTTTACTTTTTGGAATATGTTTTTAATAATATCTACATTTGACATCATTAACACAATAACAGCACATCCTTAGCATCACTGGTAATTACTTGGCTCCCTTCTAAGGATTCTGATGTTTAACAGAAGTCTAAAATGACATACCAATAATTAAATAGAATATTAGAATAGGATTGACAATTGACTAAGTCTTACCTTGTTCTTTTGGAAGAGCATAGCAATTCCACCAGTCAGGGCCTTAACAGCATTAACTTTATATTTCATCATGGTTTCAAAATTGTAAGAGATATTTCCCACTTCAATACCTCGGTTCTTGAAGTCATGTTTTGCCATGTGGTACAGGTGAGAGTTATGCAAGAGTGCTTTAGATGGGATACAACCAACATTCAAACATGTTCCTCCTAATGTTGGATCTTTTTCGACAGAGATTGTCTGAAAGAAGTAGTAAATCATGGTTTTTATTGTTTCAAGATAAGTTATTTATGGAAATTTGCTAATTACGATAGACAATACCTTCATACCCAGTTGGGCCGCTTTAATAGCAGCTACATAACCGCCAGGGCCCGAGCCAATTACTACAATATCAGCGTCATGTGTTGTAGCATATTGTCTTGTTGCAATCCTTAAACTTCCTCCCTAAAATTCAAAGTTATTTTAAATCAAATTAAATAATTTAAAAAATAAACATGTTCAAGTGTCTTTACTCTATTTGAAGAGTAGAGCACTCAGTTTGAAATGAAAAATAGTACCTATATCAAAAATTAATTCATTTGACAGGCGGTCACATGTTTGAAGGTCGAGCCTCAAGTAGATTTATAACAAGTACGGAATTATGGAACCATAGGGAAAATAAGCTTTAATCGCATGTAGTGATTAAATCAAATGTTTATTTGATAGAAATTAATTGGCGAAAAAAACTCGTTGCATAACATGAAACCATTATCAGATCTATGTTAAAACAATAAAAGGTAAATAAAATCTTAACAAACCTTTACAGAAGAAGTAGCAAGTTTTAAGAATTTGTAACCCATTTTAAGGGATATACCAAATCAATAAACGTATTTTTCACAAGATTTTATTAATCGGAACCCTGGCGATCTGAAAAGAATAAATCAAAGAGCTCACTATCACGTCAATTCAATGACGTCAAAGCGTCAAAGTCACCATAGACAATATACTTAAAGTCACTTTCGATATATAGTTTATACATATATATATATTATAGAATAATAAAATACTCAAGTCTATACCAGAGGTCGGTAACCTACGGCTCGCGAGCCACATGCGGCTCTTTGGATGTGAAGCTACGGCTCTTTAGTTTCATATGCAAATATTGCCGTTTTTAAGGTGCTGGAGAGCCATTCTAATCTCGCTCAGACTGACGTCCGGGATATCATCGGAATAATGTCGGATAAGACTCGCTTTTGGATCGTTACTCACACTCGCGTGTGGCTCCAACGATGACGTGTACAGCTGCCGATAGAACCTCTCAATCTCACTCAAAATCTCAGGTGCCCCGGAAACGATGCTGCCACATTCTGTCTTCAGCTTTGACAGTTGGCTCTTGCTGGCAGACAGATCTCTGGCAAAGACTTTGGAGCCTTGGTTCCGCTCGATCGCTTCTTCAATACGAGCTGAATTAAAGTTGCGTAAGTCCCGCAACTAAGGGCTATGCTCGGAGTTTCTCTGCGTGATAAACTCAGAAATGAAGATATCCGCAGTAGAACCAGAGTGACCGACATAGCCCAACGGATTAGTAAGCTGAAGTGGCAATGGGCCGGCCATATAGCTTGAAGAACCGACAATCGATGGGGAAGAAAGGTTCTCGAGTGGCAGCCTCGTACCGGCAGGCGAAGTGTTGGGCGCTCCCCCACTAGATGGACCTGATAAAATATGCAGGAAGTCGATCGATGCAGGTGGCTCAGGACCGTGCTTTGTGGCATCGTTTGGGGAGACCTATGTTCAGCAGTGAACTTCTGGAGGGCTGTAATGATGATGATGATGATGATGATGCAAATATTATTTATTTAAAAATCGATCCACACTGAGCCATTTGGAGTTGATATTGGATCTCTAGAAATGCAATTGATCGATTTAAAAAGTAAAGCTTTGTGGAGTTGAAACTGGTAACATCCATTGCTATGCAGACGACAGCACTGGTGATTCCTTACATACCAGCCGTGCCAATATTTCTCGGGAAAACGTCGCCCAGTACCGGGACAAATTTGTGTCGGAAGTCAAGTTTTTGCTGAACAAAGTCTCGGATTGGGAGCGACTAAATCTAATCCAGCTCAATCCCCAGAAGACACAAGTTTGCGCGTTTACCGCTAAAAAGAACCCCTTTGTCGTATCTCCTCAGTTTCAAGGCACTCCACTTGTTACCTCAGCCAGTATCGAAATCCCCAGCGTCGACATATCGAGTGACCTGCAGTTTCGAGGTCACTTGGAAGGGAAGGCCAAATTGGCCTCTAAAAAGCTTGGCGTGCTCAGCAGAGCGAGACAGTATTCCATGTGTGTTCCATGCACATCGCTTGCAACTTTACAAAGCGCAAGTTCGGCCTCACATGGAATACTGTTCTCATCTCTGTGTCGGGGCACCCCAGTGCCAGCTCCTTCCACTTGAACGCATCCATTGCAGAGTGGTTCGAATCGTCGACGACCGAGTTCTTTCTGATCGGTCCGACACACTGGCACTGCGTAAGGATGTTGCATCCTTTTGCATTTTCTATCGAATTTACCACGGGGAGTGCTCTGAGGAATTGTTCGGATTAATTCCAGGTGCCAAATTTCACGAACGCACATCGCGTCATTATCACGATACCATCCTCACCATCTGGATGCTTGGCGGTCCACGACTGTGCGTTTTACTTGGAGTTTTCCTCCTCGTACAACTTTTCTGTGGAATTGTTTACCACCGGCGATTTTTCCGGACCGATACGATTCAAGAAAAGAGCTTACACCTTTCTAAAAGGCCGGCAACGCATCTGCAATTCCCCTCGTGTTGCGGTTGTTCATGGGCGGCGGTAGTCACTTACTATCAGGTGAGCCGCATGCTCATTTGTCCCCTCTTCTATAAAAAAAGCAAGTTGAAAGAGTCGAAGGTCCAGAAATATATGTACGTAACGCAACAAAAAATGAACAGCTTTAAAAGAAATGCCACGAGTTGAGGCACTTATATTTGACGCATGGAAGAGTCTTCCAGATTGCTACAGTGAGGTGAAGAAGTTGGCATTTGGAGTGCTGACTATCTTCGGATCGACATATTCGTGCGACCAAGCGTTCTCTTGCATGAATATCATTAAAAGTAAAGTAAGAAGCCAACTAACAAATGAAAATTCAGAGTCGTGTTTGAAACTTAAAACAACAAGTTATGAACCAAATTTATCCAAACTTTCTAAAACCATGCAAAGCCAACGCTCCCATTGAATTTGTTTGCTTAAATGTATGTTATTGTTTTATTTATATTTAAGTAAAAGTTACGTTGTTTAGTAAAGTTTAAATTTTCTACTCGCATAACCATACAAAGCCAAAGCTCCCATTGAATTAGTTTACTCAACTATTGTATCAAATTGAAGTACAAGTTAGTGTTGTAAGACTTACAATGTAAATAAACGTTTAAATTCTTTTAATGTTTTAGTTAAACACTAAGTAATTATCAAATAATGCCATATATACATACATACGTACGTATAATAGTAAAGTTGCAGCCTATTTACGTCCAACTGCTGGGCACAGGCCTCCTCTCATTTCTGAGAGGGTTTTAGGGCAAGGAAATGTCCGCCACGCTGCCCCAATGCGTGTTGGCGAACTTCAAATGTCTTCGAAATATTTTTTTTTCTTATTTCTCAGACATGCAGGTTTCCTCACGACGTTTTCATTCACCGCCGAGCACGTGTTATATCAGCTCTTAAAATTGCAATTAACAATTTCATTGGTGCCGGTGGGGATCGAACCCGGGTTGCTAGAGTACTGTGAAGCTTACAGCGAGCGCTAACCATCTGAGCTACCACGGCTCTTTCTTCTAATTAGATAATAATTGAAATTACATTTTAATTTATTGTGAAAAACACTATTTATATATGAATAAATATATATTTTTCTTACGAATAAATAGATTAGTTTTTTATCAAAAAACTATGGTTGGCAAGAAAAAAATTTGTGGCTCTTTAAAAACTTTGAAATTTTGTAAATTGTAATTTTTGACTCTTCCGACTCAAAAGGTTGCCGACCCCTGGTCTATACCAATGTAAACTAAAAACTAAAAAGTGTTGGTATTTGATCTGTTATAAAATATCACTGAATAAAGATAATATTTGTAAATCAAATGTTTTCTACATATTAATTATTATTGATTAATTCATTAATCACGCGCTTTGCGTTTAAGGCATGCAATAAAATCAACTGGAATTTACAAAAATGCCGATAGATTACTTTATACAAAGCACAGACTTAGTAGTAGAATACAAAGTGCTATGCACTAGCATAGATTATACATATTAGCGTTGCCAGGTGACCCTAGTTGCGCGGGACGTCCCGAATTTCAAGTGTCTGGTGAATCCGATTCACCCTTGATCGGGACGCCAAATGTCCCGATTTTTTACGTTTCGATAATTATGACAGCAAAATGAATACATATGTAAGCTGTTACTGTGGCTGTTACTACATTTACATATTTTTACGAGCTTGGGGGTTCGAGACAATTAAAAACTGACGATTGAATTACCAAAATTAACACTTTAATTACAGAACATTAATTACAATCTAAAACAACACTAATAATAAAACACAATTGTACTACTGATCACTATAGTTCGCAGTTATTTCGCTTCGAAGTATTCTCTTGTATCGCCAATTCAATACACTTGGTCGTGGTCTATACAATATTTTAATATTAGGGACTTTACTTAAGTAACAAAATACTTTATTTTGTAAATGAGGTTGAGAAAGGAACAATTTAGAAACGGTTACAATATCAGTATGGCTTTTACATTTCAGTACTTACATACCGAAATAAGGATTAAATAATTCAAAATTATGTTATTGTTATGGCAACACAAAATTGCGCGCGCTGCAAAGAACGGAAGATGTCAAGAAGTTTGTTTATCAATCAAATCAGCGTGAAACGCCGTGTTGTCGTGTGTTAGTGCGCAGTGTTATTGAATACGCACCTGCTTCGTAAAACATAGTGATACAAAATATATACATTTCGTTTGTTACTTTAACGTGTTATTTGTATTAATTAAGTGACCATACGATTTAGTTAATTTAAAACAAGAGATATTTCGAATTTCGGTAAGTACGATAAACCTTTACCGTTAACGATTTGTATAAAATGAACAGTGTTTTGTGTTATAATTTTGAATATTGCCCGTAAAAAGTTAAAAGAATATCTATCTATTATTGATTTAGTTCAGTTTCCATTCGCGTGTTTATTTATTGTTTTAATTATGTACACATATATACATTATAATATTTTATTGATTTTTTTGTACACAATGTACACATAATATATACATTATAATATTTTATTGATTTAATTTATCTTCTTTTCATTCGTTTTTAAATAGCTATTTGTTAAAAATATTATGGTAGATATACGAGGATAAGCTTCTAGTGAATATTTTAATTCCTTGTTAATTTGAGACATTTCGTAGTCAAAAAATATCCGACAAATGAAAATTAATGATTACAATAATAAAATATGCCTATGCCATAGGCGTATTTTAGGCACAAGTGTTTTCATTGTGTATCTCTGTTTAAATGTGTCACAACGTTTTATCTTTGTTTTTTAATGTAAATTTCAGGCACGTTTAGGGTGTGAGGGTGATCTAACAACTTATTAAATGTAAATATCAATCCACGACTATCTAATGGCGGTTCATTTCATAGTTCTGGACCCAATTGCCACATTTGGATGATGGGGCTCTCTCCAACTGTTTCGCCGGAAAATCTTCTAAGTTATGCGTTCTCTCTTTCACTTCTTGAAGAGTCCTGTATCCAGCAGTCGATAAAAAAAGCTGATTAAAACCAC